CCTGAGTTCCAACTTCAGCCAGCTGGATGGAAAGGGTGTTCACTGAAGGTTGTGCACTAGAAATGAGATGAAATTACACACGAGAAACTTGGCAAAATATACTGTTGATTTTTTTCCCCTGGTCAATATAAGGGGTGAGGGGTAACATGGTAGAAAAGAAAGATTGATGTAGTCTTAGGGAATTTTGGTTCTATGCCCAACTGTGACCACATACATCAAATTCATCCTTAGGCAAATGATCTAACTCCTTGAAAGTAATGCATTTGTGTATTTGTTTCACACATTACGGTTTCAATGGTACCAGGCATTGTCTTCTGATTTGATTATTTGATGCTTAAAACAGCCCTCTGCGGTGTGCCAAACTGAGGTTCAGAAAGCTGCACAGATAGTAAAGTAAGGAACCTAGCGTTGGACATTTTGAATGCTTCCTGTCCAGTGTTCTGCCCATCATACGCTGTATATGACAAGTGGGGAACAAGAATGGTTAACCTAGAGTATCATTTTATTATATTACAGATGCATTGTGAGAGATTTTTATGCATCCTGAGAATAATTGGAACCACACTTTTTGGAGTCTCTCTTCTCCTTGGGATCACAGCTGCTTATATTGTTGGCTACCAGTTTATCCAAACAGATAATTACTATTTCTCTTTTGGACTGTACGGTGCCTTTTTAGCATCGCACCTCATCATCCAAAGCCTGTTTGCGTTTCTGGAGCACCGGAAGATGAAAAAGTCCTTAGAAACCCCCATTAAGTTGAACAAAACTGTTGCTCTTTGCATCGCTGCATATCAAGAAGACCCAGACTACTTAAGGAAATGCTTGCAATCTGTGAAGAGACTGACCTACCCTGGAATTAAGGTTGTCATGGTCATAGATGGGAACTCGGAAGATGACCTTTACATGATGGACATCTTCAGTGAAGTCATGGGCAGGGATAAATCAGCCACTTACATCTGGAAGAACAACTTTCACGAAAAGGGACCTGGGGAGACAGACGAGTCACATAAAGAAAGCTCACAGCATGTCACCCAATTGGTCTTGTCCAACAAAAGTATTTGCATCATGCAAAAATGGGGTGGAAAAAGAGAAGTCATGTACACGGCCTTCAGAGCCCTTGGTCGAAGTGTGGACTATGTTCAGGTAGGTTTCCGAATTCCTGCCAGGGCAAACATACATTGAAATAAAGCAGCTTTTGTATCTCTCCAATCCTATGCTATAGCCCATCCTTGTCCCTTCTGAACACAGTAGCCCTTTCAGTTCGTTTGAAAACAGTCTGCCTGTTGAAAGCACATTTTGAACGAGAGAAAAAAAAAATCTTGTAAAACTGTTAAGACTATCTATGAAAATGCTTAACTTGTGCAGTGTAATTGGTGAGAAATCAAGATTATTTTCAACAGGAGACCCTTCCTTCCCGTTCCTCCCTCTCCCTTACCTTCGCTGCCCTCTCGGTTCTGCCAAGTCAAATCCAACGTCATTTTCCACACTCTTAAAATCTGCAGCGTGGTAAGAAAATAGTGTCTGCCTGAGCAGAAGGGTCCTGAGAAAAATCTGGAGACCCAAGGGAAGGCTATACATGTTTTTTTTTTTTTTTTTTTTTTTCACAGAGACCAGACAATATGAGGGTGGTGGGAAAAATTTTGATTGAAAAGGGAAGGGACTCAAAATTGAGACGCAAAGAGAAAAAAGAGAATCTTCTCAGGGCAAAACCAAAGTACTGTTTATTTCACTCCTCAAACAACATTACCTCACTGCAACTTGACCTTTGAAAGCATTTGTGATGGTGTTTGCCTGCCTGAAAATTAGACCAACTGTGTCTGTCATGAACTTCTTGACTGCACACTCCAGGTCTTCTCTTCTAATTCTCATGGAAGTTTCTTTAACACACTTGTAGAATACTTGTGATTTTCTCCTACTTTTCTACAGATGCTTTAGGTAGGTTTTGGTCACGAATGGTATCAAGAGGAGGAAAATATTCCTGGTTTAAAAAACCCACTTGACATTTTCTGCTTCTCTGAAAGTCTCTGAAATTCCACTGTTTCGAAGATCCACCTTATTCTTTAGGGAACTTCATTTCTGCAAAGTCACACCCAAGGGTCTTTTATGTACTGGGATGGACATGAACACTGATTTCATAGTAAAGTCACAGGTTTTTACCAGTTGGATGAACTTCAGCAAGAGCCAGCTTTACTGGAAAGAATAAATCAATTTCATAAAGAGTTTGAAGTCACGATTTCAAATAGTAGATCCAAAAGAGCTTAGCAAGTTATTAATGATCACATTATTAGTATTGTTAATACCACTACTGTTATTTTGTATCATCTTCCCGGAAAATTATATTACCTGCCAGTTGCCTCCACAGGGTTGATTTGGGTTGATAATGAAGAATATTGAGACATTTCTTCAGCTGATACAATATGCATGTTAGTCTTTCTTCTAAAGAGTTGATAGAGTTCTATCCCTAAGTTTCTTTTACTTTCTAGAATCCTCGCAAGATCATTTCATTACTTTGGGATGTTTTAGAGTTAATCTGAGGTCCAGATAAGAAATGAACAGAAGACATGGCTGGGAAAACTACGGAGAATTTGAAGAATAAATCTCCACTTAACGAGAAAACATCTGTTTTGACATTTTTCCCCTAATTCTAGTGAAAACAATTGCTATGTTTGTCATTTTTAATCAAGACGTCATTGTGTGGGCTTTCTTTTTCTTTTTTTAAAACTACTCCTCCCAAACCTCCTTCTCCCATCACTCTTGTTTTGAATTTTGCTTGTATCCTTGACAACTTGATAACTGTGCTTGGTCAGGAAAAATACAATACAAAATATGAAACGTTAGTGTAGGTTTCCTGCTAGTGGCCTACCCCAGTTTAAGAATATCTGATGTTAATTGACCCTGTATCTCTGGAGCACCCAGCCCCTTCAAAACTAGGATAAACACTCAAACTAGGATAAAAAGAGAACACTGGGTATTATAAAACCTGTTAACTTTATCCTGCCATCGCTCACTAAACCCCCAATATTCAGCCATCCATATTCTCTGAAAATGGAAAATCTCTCTCCTGATCCTATTGACTGCAGGATAGAGAGGTAGAAAGCAAAAGCTACAGAAAGAAAACAGGAAAGAGGGTGGCTTTGGGCTGCTAAGCATTGCCTGTGATTGATCAGCAAGTGTAGTTGTTTAGAGACTCAAGGAAGCAAAGTGTTGGTGTTAACAATAAAGAAAAAAAAGGGCTGGGGTGAAGAAATTGACCATCTGTTTGTATGTTTGTGAATCTGGCTGAAGAATTTGGTGTAACTTGCAGAGAAGTGGCCAAAATGATTCCTTTCCAGTTGCAGCTGGTCCATGAGCCTGGTCAAAACTCTTTACACTTGATCTTGAGTAGATGGCTTACTACTCTCCTGACCTCTTATTTCATACCTTCAACCTTCTCACAGGGCCCTGCCCAAACCCTCCCAGTTTAACTACTAACAGATGACCTTGCCTCCTGCTAAAGAGAAACCAAAGTATTGGTTCTGAGTCCTGTCAAGTTCTTTACTTTCTCGTACTTACAGTTGCAAGGGCACCCAGCCTCGCTTCCTAGCTCAAGGTTAACTTTTCTACCGATATTACTAGACTCATTGAATGATTTCCTTTGGTCTCTTCCATGACAGGGCTTTCTCCTTTTATCTCTCTCCTTCTCTGACAACTACTGTCTCAGCCTTACAACTATTCAAATAATGGTGACAGGCTTGAAACATGGAATGATTTTGTCTAGGGAAAAGGCACGTGGTAGCAAACTTACTGATGGTGTAGTGATCACTTTCGAAAATAGCGAGAAGACAGAAAAAACAACAAAGTGAGAAAAGAAGGGGAAATAAAGAAAATGAGAAAGATTTTCTTAATTTTGAAGTATTTGCTGGAGAAACTTTTTTTCCCTCCAAAAAAGTACAAATGCTCTCACCTGTCTGGATAGGACTTAAGGTGAGGCAAAAGTCTTTTATAAGTAGTACATCGATTGTCATTTCTTTAGTTACTAAACAGTGCATGTTAATGGTAGTATACTTAAAAATAGAGAAAAGCAGCACAATCAACAAAACTAAAATTATTCTCAAATGCAACACTTCACAGCCCTCACAGTTCTATTTTTCCTTAATTTTAAAAAAAATTTTGAGATTATTTTATATGTACTTTTTGTATCTGTTTTAACTGTATCTGAAGACGTAAATATTCATCGATATCTAGATTACATCGTTGATTCATTATGTTTTTACCGACCATGAGTATTATAACATAAACATCTACAAGTCTATGTGACAAACTATGTCCCTGGATTCAGGTGCATTCAGGGTTTCCCAGGTAGAAAATACACAGTCATTATGAACATTTCCTAAAAGGAAAGATGGTAGGAGGCAAACATTTCATTTAATGTTACCACCCTTATAGCAGCATCTCAGGTATGCAAGATCTTTATGGAGGGAAAAGACTCAATCACTCAATAGTACAGTTGACCCTCGTGTTGGTCAATGCTATCCCTATAAATGACCCTACCCAACTGAAAGTATTTCCCAAGTCAGTCCCACAGTGCTTTTGTGATCAGTTGCAAGCAGATACAACCTGGCAAGAAATTTGAGTCACCTTACCTTTATGTGCTCCATGAGTTGAAGCAAGATTAAATTTGCTCTGTTTCAACTTCTATTCTTTAAAAAAGTAACTCAGTCTATTTAGCTTCCTGTTTTTTGCTCTTGTGTTTTTTGTTGTTGTAGCTTTTTCAAATGTCTCCCAAGTGTCATGCACACGGGCTGTCTTAGCATGTCTTCTTAGCATTTTTAAGAAGAAAGCTAGAAACCTAGTGATTGTCTTACGAAGAAAATAAATTTGTTAGATGAGCTTCATTCTGACATGAGTCAGTGCTTCTGGACATGAGTCCAATGTCAACCAGTCAGCTGTAATATTTAGGAATATTTCCTTAACTAAAAATACAAAAGTTTATGTAGTTTATGATCGGTAGACAAAAATGTTCTAACCTGAGGACTAAGAGGAACTTGCACTTGTATTTCTGCTGGAAACAATTTGTGAGACTCGCTCTTTCAATGTTCACAAAAACTTATAGAACGTACCTACCTTGATTAGTGAGAATCCCTCTTGTGCTGGGTGGCTGGTTCTTTTTCTGTACAGAAAGCCTAACAACTAAATTAAGGGTCAGCATTAAGAATGTTCTGTGTTTCTTTGTGCCTTTTATTTTAAAGCAACAAATTAGAAAAACACTGAAATAGGAATGGGGAAATCCACATTCTAGATTCAACTGCATTTTGTATTTCGACGTCATTCAAAACCTCCATGGATAAATGATTTCTCAGATCTCTCCAAGATCAAGACTCTAACTCTGTACTATTATCATTTCTCTGATTTTTATGTTTAGGTGACAAGAGTAGGACCCAAATTTTGCCTGTGTGGAGGGAGGGTATCAGAATTTCCTTCCCATGTATCAGTTACTATCATGTTTCTCACTTTCATTTTTAAGCTGTCTTTTTCCTTAGCACTGTTTTCTTGAATATAAACCTTGAGCTAAGAGGCACCATCTGGGATTTCCTGATTACATTCTTATAATGGTCATTCCAACCATTTGGGATAAGTGTGTTCGGTGACTAAAGTCTTAGAGGTGACAACATTTGGCTTCCCACTTTTCCAGCTGGCTTTTCACCTTTCCACTACTTCACTCATGTTTTAAGTGTTTTTGCAAAAGAAAGAAGGAGAATAGTGAAACGACTCCATGTTTTTCAGAGATTCTGGATTGACCACAGGCAATAATTATTTTACTACAATATGGGTAATTAACTCTTCCTACTAACAAAAAATGTAAATTTTCTGAATTCCTTTTTTTTTTTAAACCTGGATCTGTGCCTCTGGTTTTGGTTTATCACTTCTTAGTAGATGTGACTTCCAGTTATAGATGATTTGCTACGAGCTAACTATCCATTAAGTGCGTTATATACACTATTTAATTACCATTATAACCAACTTACAAGGTACACGTGATTGCTCATATTTTTCACTTTGGGTGTACGCTTAGGAAGGTAAGGTCAGGAGCTAAAGGTCAAGAAGGGAGTTCAAGTTTGTATAACTGGTAGGTAGTGGGTCAGGAGTTAGAACTGCTTGAAATC